ATGCGCCAGTCTTATCTAACGCTTGATAGACTCTGTCCGAAATAATCGTTTATACATCAACACTTGACCCAGGGAAGCGAAAACCGTATTTCTTAATCTGAAAAAAGCCCCGAGATTCTTAAACAATTCCGGGAGGATTAGGGATTCTAGTACTTTGCGAAAAGACAATAAAAGGCTAACAGAATGATCAGAAGGTTCGCCTGAGTTCTTAAAGATTGGAACTACAGAAGAGGATTTCTAACAAGCAGAAAGTCATTTATTATAGAGTTTAGACAGAACAGGGGACATCTCAGTAGCTTATTTCTTAAAGACTATCGCAGGGATCCCATCAAGCACGCATGATTAAAAATGATAGCAGAAACTATAGCCGGATTTATATGCATATCACTCAATGGAAACTCAATTCGAAATGCAAAGTGATGCAATGTGCTCCAAAGGAGTCAAAAGTAGAATTTAAAATGAATTTATCAACAGAGGATGTTAACACGTCACATTGAGTGAAGAGGGGTGAGATAAAAAGCATATTCTCATTCAACACGCTTATATACAACCCCTCGGTAATCACGTGAACGAAACCTGTTAGAGGTTATTCGGTGCCTTGTTCTATCAGCAAACAAAGATATAGCCTTTTTGAGGAGACCTTTACAGTTATATCAAGCAGTTACAAATAGGCATCTGTTGTGATCGGAATTATCACGCTGGCACGTATGAATAATTTATGGAATTTATTCTATTGCTGGTCTGAATAAGAAGGTCATCTTAAAAATTCCGACATGAGAACTTTACGTAAAATTTATATTGCGATATGAAAAAATTATGTAATTTATTCTATTGTAGACCCGAATAATAAATAAAAATCCCGACATTAATAATTTATGTAATGTTTCAATTGTTGAAATGTTCTTTGAATCTAAGAACGATTGTGCGTTGTGTTAAAAAAAAACAGCAACACTAAAATGAAAAACTCGTGAAGAATAGCAATTCGATGAGCTGAACAAGAATTCATAGACAATGAAGACTAGAGGAATGTGACATAGATTTCAATAGCATTTTTATCAAGAAGGTTGAGAAATGAAAACAATAACTAGAGGTTGCATGGCAAATGATGTATTCATTTTTGAAACAGGAATTAACTTCAAAAGGTTAATATGATTCAAGTGTTTAAATGAAGCATTGTGATTAAAGATTTTAAAAATGATCTTTGAATTCGCAAATTCGAAAATGCAAGAGATTGAATAAAATTTTAATTAGTCCAGATTTGTATTGTCATAGAATACAATTTAGATATGAAACTTGCTTCCAAGTTAGCTTTAAAAATACTTGAATATGTATTAATATGTATATGAAACTCAATATATATATATATATATATATATATATATATATATATATATATATATATATATATATATATATATATAGTTTAAGGTGCGCTATATTTATGGGATAAAGCGGTCAATATCAGAGATAGAGCGTATATAAATATAACTATAAAGCAAACATTGAAGTCAACAATTGGAGGCGACAGGCTGTTTCAGGTTAGGCGCAATCGTCAGGCGGTTTGACGATTGTACCTAGCGTGAAACAGCCTGTCGCCTCTGAGTGTTGACTTCAATGTCACTTATATATATATATATATATATATATATATATATATATATATTGGTATGCTGTAAAAACGTAATAAAATTAATTTAATCCTCCTTGTCTGTCGTATTCATTGAAAGATATTTGAAAGAAAGGTTGCTGCCAAAATCTGCATTATATATATATATATATATATATATATATATATATATATTGAGTTTTCATGTACTAATTACCATATACATTATATCTAACTATATAAAACTAACTATGTGTTATTTCACAAAATTTGAAACATAGATTATACTCGATACTGGGTGTGTCTGGGAAAAAATAGTCATTTTTCAAAAGTCAATAACCGATAATCGATAAATATAATGTTTAAACGGGAATGTCCATAAGTTTGGTTGTTTTTAATCTTTCAGACTTGAAGTCTAAACCCTAAGGCTGATTTTAATGAAACCTGATAAGTGTATACAACTGTCACGCTTATTATACGTTATATTGATTTTCGTTTCTCAATTGCTTTTTGAAGTGTATTTTGTAGCAGTATTCCCCAATTTCAACGAAAATTTCAGTGCATATTGAGATTATATCCAGTAACTGAAGTAGTCACTTGGAATTCACTGAAAATCAACACTGGGATCCCCACGAGTTAGGGGACCAGCAGGGAACCCCAAAATTTTCAATTAAGTCTACTTGGCCATAAAGTCGATTAAATAAAAAACTTAAAAAAGATGTGCTTTATTATTTCAATTACTATTAGTCTTAAACCTGTCCTTTGGCCTGAAATTTGGGACCCCTAGGGTAGACCAAAGGGACTCCCAAATTTTCATATTTCTTCGATTTCGACGAAATTTTACATGTATGTTACAATCTTAAAATGAATCAAAAACGATTATCAGATTTTTAAAACTACATAAGGAGCCCCAAAGATAACCATGAACACCTTGCTGCCCCATTAGTCTTTCAATTGTAGTGGTTAGCAGCATTCTGATGAAAATGTGCACATAATTTGTGTTTAGATCAATCAACTCAAAATCAAAACTGACACCCCATGTGTCATAAATACATTATGAAATATATCAGTTTTTTCCATGGATTTCCCGTTTTGATACTGAAATAGTTTGCATTACCTTGATGGCAAAAATTATATCCTTCCTTAAGAAATAAAGAATAAGTGCAAACGAAAGTGTGCACCGATGAGAGAAGTGCACGTAGGTATAAGACGCGTGTGCGAGATCGATCGAAATGTGTAGTGTGTACAATTGATTTTGCTCCACGTGAAATGATCGATCGAGTTATGTAGTGCGTACAATCGATTTTGCTTCACGTATAGTGTTCATTAGTGCTATGTGATAAAATAAATGCAAAAAATCTCATTGGCATCAAATTGTCATCCAGTAAAAAGGTAGGCTGCCTTCATGCATGTATATTTTGAATTTTTGATGCGTTAAATTTAAATTTGTGAAAATCATATTATTAAAAATGTTTCAGCGTAAATGCCCATTTTTAATTATGTATTTATCATCTTCTAATCAGCGTTTAAATAAGGCTTACTAACTCATATTTGGAAACTTTAGACAGTTTTATTCTGAAAAATGCACTTATAATAATGTAAAGACCTTCTTTCGATTCATTTATAATTATGCTAAACTTAGCGTGCAAGTTTTAACGTTCATAATGAGTAGGTTTCTAGCTGCATGTTAATTTTTATTTTTATCACTAGAACGTTTTTTTGGTAGTCTATTTTTAGATAAATCCTAACTTTACGAGCTTGCTTATAATTGCTTATCACGGTCCCGTGGTCTCCCTTATAAACTTGCATTTAATTTATTGTGGCTATATTTCTATTAATGTGTATAATATTCTTGCTTTTTTAATTGATTACTTCATTGTTATTCAAAAAGCTTAGCCACACCCCTCCAACTACAGCCTGACAGTAATGTCAAGAAAGCGAAATCCTTCACTTGGACGTGCTACTACTGCAACCAAACGCATGAAAGCACGGAGAAGAAACGCTTCGCAACAAGACACAAAACGCTATTCGTACAGCTAATGCAAGGTCAGTCGACACTAATGAGCAACGGTTAACTAGACAAGGAAGGAACGTTGCCAGAACTGTTGCTACTCGAGCTGTCGAAACTGAGGGGCGAAGAACAATTCGACATGTAAGAAATGCTACTAGAACTACTGCCACACACGCTGTCGAAACTGGGGGCAAAGAACAATTCGACATGTAAGAAATGCTACTAGAACTGCTACCACTCGAGCTGTCGAAACTGAGGAGCCAAGAACAATTCGATATACAAGAAATGCTACTAGAAATGCTGCTGCTCGAAATTCTGAGCGTGAGCAACAGCGTATTGCTAGACAGATACGAAATTCAGCAACTACTGTTGCTACCAGACGTGCGGAGAATGAGGATCAACTTTCACAAAGACTGTCTAGAAATGCTTCAGCAACTGCAACAGCAAGAGATCTGGAGACTCAAGAGCAACGTACGAGAGGACAGAGCAGGAATGCCTCTAGAACAGCTTCTGCACGGGCAATGAATGGTGTTGAGGATCGTCAAGATCGTTTGGAATAAAATGTGCAAAGATTGGCTGCTCAACAGAGGATTTCAAGACCCCGTAGTCAAATATGGTCAGTGGTAGCATTCTATGATGACCCTCGTGCTAATTATTCGAACCACCCTGAAGTTCAGCTTGGCAGTATGTCGATTGTCTGTTCGCACTGCAGAGCTAAAAGGCGGGTAGGGGAAATTAATAGCATGTGCTGCTCAAACGGTACTTCCGCGTTAACTATCATTGAAGATCCACCCCAGCCATTGAAAATGCTATTAACTGGTACCACTGTTAGCTCTAATCACTTCCTACGCAATATTAGAAAGTATAATTGTGCTTTTTAGATGACCTTTTTGGGGGCCAATATTATTAAAGATGGTAGATTTATGCCTACTTTTAAAGTACAAGGACAATTATATCATAGAATTGGCTCTATGCAACCTATGATAAACGAGGAGCCACAATGTCTTCAGCTTTACTGTGTAGGTAACTATCAGGAACAGGAAACTAGGCGCAATTCTATTTCACCTGGAACTGAAATGGATATCATTTTTGAGCTTCAGGAAATGCTACACACCAGGAACAATTATGTGTGAGAGTTTAAATACGCTTTAGAAACAACGGACACGCCAAATTCTTATGCCATGATTAACGCTGACCAGAGACCTGGTGGTGAACATGGGGGACGTTATAATTCACCTGTTTGCAATGAAGTTGCTGCTATTAATCATGGCCACAAACACAATAATACTAGAGACATAGTTCTTTCATCACGTGATAACAAACTGCAGTGCATCCATGAAACCCACTGAGAAGTCTTTATTGAATTTCTTCACCTTCCAATGCATGTTGTTCATTCACTCTCTCTCTCTCTCTCTCTCTCTCTCTCTCTCTGACCCCTTGGCCCGTGACTCCCAATTCTCTCTCTCTCTCTATCTCTCTCTGACAACTCGGCTCAGTGCCTCTCACTTCTCTTTCTGTCTCTCTCTCTCTGAGAGACTCGGTCGGGTGCCTCTCAATTCTCTCTCTCTCTCTCTCTCTCTCTGACCACTCGGCCAGGTTCCTCTCTCTCCCTTTCTGACCACTCAGCCCCGTGCCTCTCACTTCTCTATCTCTCTCTTACCACTTGGTCCCGTGCCTCTCAATTCTCTCTCTCTCTCTTTCTCTCTCTGACCACTCGGCTCCGGGCCTCTCACTTCTCTATCTCTCTCTTACCACTTGGTCCAGTGCCTCTCAATTCTCTCTCTCTCTTTCTCTCTCTGACCACTAGGCTCCGTGCCTCTCACTTCTCTCTCTCTCTGACCACTCGGCCATGTGTCTCTCACATCCTTCTCTCTCGCTCTCTGACCACTCGGCCCCGTACCTCTCAATTCTCTCTCTCTGACCATTCGGCCCCGTGCCTCTTACTCTCTCTCTCTCTCTCTCTCTCTCTCTGTCCACTTGGTCCCATGCTTCTCATTTCTGTCTCTTTCTCTCTCTCTGACCACTCGGTCCCGTGCCTCTCAATTCTCTCTCTCTGTCTCTCTCTCTCTGACCACTCGGCCACGTGCCTCTCACTTCTCTCTCTCTCTCTCTCTCTGACCCCTTGGGCCGTGACACCCAATTCTCTCTCTCTCTCTCTGACCACTAGGCTCCGTGCCTCTCACTCTCTCTTTCTCTCTATCTCTCTCTGACCACTCGGCCCCGTGCCTCTCAATTCCCTCTCTCTCTCTGACCACTGGGCCACGTGTCTCTCACTTCTCTCTCTCTTTCTCTGACCACTTGGTCCCGCGCTTCTCAATTCTCTCTCTCTCTCTCTCTGACCACTCGGCCACGTGCCTCTCACTTCTCTCTCCCTCTCTTTCTCTCTCTGACCACTCGGTCCCGTGCCTCCTTCTTTCTCTCTCTCTCTCTCTCTCTCGTCACACTATATATACATTTTGTTTATAGGAAAGGAGTTGTAAGAGAAAAATAATTCGTCACCCACAAGGGCGCAAAGATGCTGGCAAGTGAATGATGGGCAACCCCTGTCTATATATGATAGTACATCATTTTCGTTCTAATCTGCCTCTTGGAAAGGTACATACCGTAGCGGTAAAGGGAGCATTTTGCCATCATCTTGAGGCTTGAGATTAAGTCCAGATAGGCACTCAAGTCTAAGAGATAACCCGTTCGTCATAATAAGGGAAAAGTCAGGACCCCTTCGGTGATGGTGGAATGTAACTAGTTTGGTTTTCGAGGCATTGAATGTCACCAGTCAGTTTTTACCCTAGTGGACTGTTAGATCTAGGATAGAGGACAGATTGAATGCCATGCTCTGGTCATCGAGATTTTTGTATCATCAGCATAGGTATGAAAACGATCGGAGTATACACTTAGGTAAACCATTTATGAAAAAATAGAAAGAAGGTTGGACCGAGAAGCCGGGCTTGGAAGACTCCTAAATTAATCGCTTGTGCCTCCTTGCATGACATGCCTTTAACGATTATGTACATGGACCTACCCATTAGGAAGGGCTTGATATATATATATATATATATATATATATATATATATATATATAGAGAGAGAGAGAGAGAGAGAGAGAGTTCCGGGCGGCATAGTTCTGACACTACCGTTTACCCCCCCACACCGACTGTGAGGTAAGGGTTGGACTTTGGGGCTTACAGTACCAGGTGTTTAAGCGGTCCCCATCTAAGTACTGACCTGGCTCTACGATGCTTAACTTCGGTGATCGAACGAGAACCGGTGTTTCAGCGTGATTTAACCGTAAACTTCGTTCCTGGTAGGGCCACCCAAGGCGGACAGGTCTCACACACACGCCAGCTAACAAGGGCTCTGGTGAAAATCCAAGGAGCGTCTGCATCGGTAACCGGCGGCTTCTGGTCGTTCCTGTCTCTCTGCGTCTGTGGAATGCCGCGGCAAGCAAGAACGTTATTCGAGTAGGCCTAGGTACCCTACTTCTGTAATTTATCCCAAGAATCTTCTCATAACAGGAAGAAGCCGGCTCAATCCGCCCAGGGTGAATGCCGCATCAGTACAGTACAGTAGTATATATATATATATATATATATATATATATATATATATATATATATATATATATAAGCCGAATTAACGGCCCTTTACTGCGTGTCACATTTTTTTGTAAGAAAATGATGATTGATTTTAAATCATTGTTATAATTTGTGGATAAAATTTATGCATTCCATTTTAGCTGAATGATCTTGCCGATGTAACCTCCATCTTCTGACTTTCTCCTATATTTTGGATAGGAATCATTCCCTTGTTCAAATTTAAATTTAATTTCAATTAAAGGGAAACAATTTTAGTGCTGGGTTGTACAAAACCAGCATAATCAGGCCCCTTTGCATTTGATGCAATACTTGATTGAATCAATTGATGAGCAGATTTCAACATTGATATAACAGTTTAATTGTTGCAACAAATATGTGTTTTAAGGCACTGCCCACTGATTGGTGATTTCTTCCTCAACTTATTATTTTGATCTAGCCGATGTGACTTCCATCTTCTGGCTTTCTCCTTCTATATTTTGGGTAGGAGCCATTTCCATGTTCTAATTTAAATTTAATTTAAATCAAAGAGAATAAAAAACCTTAGTGGGTTGGTTCTGCTCCCTCCCCGGAACTTTTTTGGTGAAAATGAAATATTCTTATCCAAGTACATTGGTGTCACTCCCTTGCTCAAATTTAATTTTAATTTAAATTAAATGGAAAACAATTTTCACTACGAGGTTTGTGTCCCCACCGTGACCCGGTTTGATCAAAATAAAATATACTTATTCATGTACACTGGGTAATGTACTTTCAGAATATATATGGTTGTGAGGGTGGGGGTCTATCGCTTAAAACTAGGTGAATGAAACAGATAGACAGACAGAAGCTACGGGTATATATATATATATATATATATATATATATATATAGATAGATAGATAGATAGATAGATAGATAGATAGATAACTATACTCGTTTCGAAAAACGCTCGAATTTTTGATTTGCCAATAATCAAATCAATCTCGAGGGAAAAAAGGTTTTAAAAAAAGAAAGAGCTACAAACATGAAAGTCTGTCGAAAAAAAAATCGCACAGATGCAGGTCTGAAGCCCAAGGAAAAAACCCCGATACGAGTAAACAACTAACAAAAGAGCTCAATACAACCGTAGAGCAGACCTAGATAAACCTAGTGATAGTGAGCCAGATTTACCTACCTAGGTTTCACCTAAACGGATCGTCAGGGAAAGTTGGCTAAAGAGGCAAAGAGAAACGCATATTTATAGGCGATAGCCAAAATTATACCATGTGACCAAAGAAAGAAACACACAAACACAAAACCACCAATTTTAAAGTTTTATTCAACAAAAAGGGGAGGGGATGTTAAAATACGGACTTTAAGGTGGAATGACAAATAAACGGGAAAATACGTCTTAATTTAGTAACCACGATTTTTTATGTCTACATATGTTAAGAATTTCGGTTTTGGAGTTTAATAGCTGGTTAGGTTGATTATATAAAGTTATGGCTAATTTCTCCTCTGTACATAATTTACAAAATTTTTGGCCTGCTTTATATTTTGGGCATTTTTTTTAATATTTCCCATTTAAGGATGGGGTCTTTATTATCTTCTTGTCTGGTTTTCCATACATAGGTGGATAACGTGGTACTATGTTTCGTTTTTTCGTTTTTAAAACTACTCGTGTGATTATAGTATTTTTTAAAAATTTATCCTGAGTAGCACCTATGTATATTTTAGGGTCAGTATCCTCCCTATCTTTGTAAATTTTCACCTGGTAAACCAAGCATTCTTGCTGACATTTTCCATGTAATGGGCAGATATTTTTGTTTCTACAATTACAAGTAGGAAGGTTACTGCGTGGATTATCCCAAGTTTTTTTTTCTTATTCAATCCACTAATTAATGTCCCTATATTAGGCATGCAAGAATAACTAAGCTTTACATTATTTTTATTGAATATTTTACGTAACTCAGTTTTTTTTTTTTTTGGGGGGAATGTTTTTCTAATAAGTCAAAAAATATTTTGCCAATTTTTGTTTTTACCGCTAAATTAAAAGGAGGATTAAACCACAAAATATTTCTTTGCCTATTGTTACGTTTATTCCGAGTACTGTTATGGCTATTTATGTCAATATATTTCAATTTATTTTTATATCCACTCTTAGATAGGGCTTCCTCATAATTTGTTTTATTGGCCTCAAAAATGTCCCTATTGGAGGAATTAGTTGAAAGCCTTTGGAATATGCCTTATGATATGGGCTGGGTGATTTGATTTTATGTTTAAATATTGGGTTTCTGGTTCTCTTTTTTATACGGGGATATAGTACCATTTTGTAAATTCAACGTAATATCTAAATAGTTAGTAATTTTCAAATTAGTTTCTATTTCGAGATTAAATCCGAACTTTCTAAAAAAAACAGTGTAGTTTTTTACGGATAGTGTCACATTTTTGGGGGTTGCTTTTAACCACTAATCGCGGTAAAACCCATGGTTATTAAAATCTATATATTCATTATATATTACAATCTATATATTCATTTTATATATATATATATATATATATATATATATATATATATATATAATCTTTTCATTCGAAGCTAGGCCATAAAGCCACTAAGGCATAATTATGCTTTACAAGAATAACGAAAAGAAAAAATATTAAGGAGCGAGATCAATAAAAGAAGAGGAATCAGGAAGACAGTAGATAACAATTGATATTGCATTTACATTTGTGAAGATCAAAGTTAGTTGGAAAGCAAGAAAGCAAGAAATCGTAAGAGGTTACCATAGGCAAGAAGTATGAGAAAAAAACTGTTTGTATTGAATTTTAGATATTAATATTAAACCTTTTTGGAGAGCTAAGGTAAAATAATCACTTATTAATAGCGGTTTTACTAATTGTATTTTCGATTATCAAATTAGAATTTGCTTATGAAATAACAAATTTTATATAAACCTTGTTTCTCAGAATCATTTTAATAATAATACCATTAACATTTACGACAAAAATCAAATGCGCCACAATTTCCCCCCAAAAAAATGAACAAGCAAAAAAAAAAACATAACACGTATATTTATTAAAGCAGTAGAAAAATATCCATTTAAAACTAATCCTTTATTATAAGTGTTGTGGATTCCGGGTTGAAATCCGGTACCAATAAATAACAAACGCCAGGAATGAATATATGAAATAATGTATTAACGTAATAATACAAACTGGTAAAAGCAGGTTAGTAGTTCCAGGAATATGGGTTAGTAGCAAAAATATATATATATATATATATATATATATATATATATATATATATATATATAGTATTTGGTATTGAAGTATCGCTGTATGACTTCTTACTGAGTCTACGTGCTCGCTCACTGTGAATCTTGCTCGATGTTCGTTGTTCGTTCTACTGGTTCTTCCCACTTTCATACTTAGATCTCGTTCACTCTCTCGAATATTCACTGACAGTAGTATAAGTATACACTGGGTGAGTCAATTTGTATAAAAAAGGGTGGACCCCTCAACACACCCCTCCTTAGATCCCTTTTTTGTGGGGGGAAATATAATTTTTTTTCTCTTATGGTCGATAATCAGAGGTTCGGTAAATTTTCTCTTCCTCTTTGACCTTCTAGTTTCTGTGTCTTCCTATGGTCTTTGAATCTCAAAAGCTTCAAAGATTGCATCAATTGAATCGTCATTTTCAGCGGGTGACAAGCTTGGCTCTTCAACCCGTCTATTTTGTATTTGGTCTTCTGTGGGTAAACTTTTCGCCTTGTATTGTGTACATCACATTTCCTAGTCTGTTAATTGTTGTGCCAGGCTCCCAGTAAGCCATATTGTTCCTGAACATCCTAAAGTAAACCTGTTCTCCTGGTTTAAATGATCTCTTGGGTACTATAGATGTATGCTGTCATT